TGCCAAAATAGCACTATAATTTATGGTAGAAAGCTAACACTGGTAGATTTAAACTCAATAAATCAAACATTGACTGTCAAACTTGGATATTTCCAATTATTCACAGTAAATATTAGTCGACTAGAACTAATTACTAGAACGTGATTTTTTTTTTAAATAATCTAATCCATGATCTCTGATCTATGAACCTTGGTGATTAAATCAATCGAAAAACTTACAACAATTAATAAAATCAATGATGTTTTACTCATCACAAGAATGTAATTTGGAGAGAGAGAAACAGAGAAAGAAAGAAAAAACAATATTTAGTTTTATACATTCAATCAAGTTGATTTTTTGGTGAAAATATATGTAATATACATTTAAGAAAAACAATGTATACGATCCAAGTACTTTACTTATTGTAAAATTGTATCTATGTAAGTAGTTAGTCATCTTAATACATAAAAATGTATATATCAGTATAATGTGTGCTTGTGTATAAAACATTCTTTAATTGAGTAAGAAATATGTATTCATGATCAAAATGATTGAAAATCATATTGTTGCTAGTCTATTTATAGAGTTATTTTATATATTTTTAGCCATAATATTTGAGCATACATGTATATGTGTGATTTTGTTAATTCGTTGTAATACTTACTTTTTTATTTTTTATTTCAACACATACATAATGGTACAAAGAGGCACCAACTACATATGCGCCACACAAATCTCATTCGATATGTGTGAGGGTTGTGATACTGCCCGGGTGCCCAAACCGAAGCAAGTGGTTTTCTTAGGGGGCTTACTTAGTACTATTCTAGTCACATATATATGTGTATATATATATACCAGTAAAAGTCGTAGAGGAGGGTATCAACTATAGAGATGTATCAAGAAAAAAGAACCAATACACAGGATAAAAAGTATTGTCTTGAACTAAATTACATCAAGACTGATAAATTTAAAAGGAATTAAACATCATTATTTTAGCCTAGTTTGGTACTGTGTAGTAACCAGCAACCATGACGATGATGGTGCCATATTACATTTTGAATGAGCTTGAAAATGTGGATCGCTGGATTGTGATTTTTGTAGTTTATATCATTGACTGACCTAACGTATGGTGCAACTGAAAAACATCAAAAAGCACAGGGAAGATGTTTCGTCCTAGTACAGGACCCCTGGTAAGGTAGTGGCTTAATGATTAAAGTATTCGATTTTTATCACTATGACCCGGGTTCTAAATCCGCTTCACTTATTCCAACTAGGGTAACCGGATAGCATTATTATTGCCCACATTTATAGTATGGCTTATACACAGGTACTAGTGGAGTTAGTTAATTTAAATTTAGAAAATCTGATGGGACTTCTTAACAGTATGCACCAGCGACTGAACCGTAAATCGAACTCAGGACAGTGAGCGCCTGACTTTTAATCACTGAAGTGTCATACAACAACTTTGATTTTCTGACCCAATAGCATCACCCTTACTGCGGTTAGATCATGGCAATATCGTGCATGTACATTACTGGGTTATTCAAAACTAAGACAAAACAGCTATTCAGCACTCCTCTGATTCTTAATAATTTACCAGATGATATATGTGTGCAATAAAAATTAACATCAAATTGAAATAAGCGCCATAAATTCCTTAACTTTGAATTAATATCATTAAATCAAGGTGTACAGTCAGCTACTAGCCAACAAAATTGGCATCAAAAATGTCTATTCAGAATACAAACTATGTGAATGAAAAAAGTATGCAATGGTCAGTAAAAAAAACTCAGTGTACAAGTCTATCTAATAAATGCAAGGAATACAAACCACACATACAAACATAGGAAATGAGATATATGTACAAGCTGAATTACAGGTCACATACCCTAATTGGGGATAAATAATTATATCTTAATTAAATAGTAATAATAATAATAATGGTAATAGTAATAAATTTACTGTAATTAATCCTAATAACATGAATGTAGGTGAATCAAGTAACAACCATTATGTATCTATCTGTTAACTGAACATCGGATAAGCGGAACAAAGCTTATTCATCTATATTGACCATAAAGTACTTTTAAACGAGAATAACGTTGTATATTTCACTTATGATTCCTCACAGAACTCAATATTATGCCTTTTGTCCTGTTTGAGACTGGTCAGTTAAGTGTATCTATTTATATCAGTGATGTTGACATTAAAACTCAAGCCCAGTGAGTGGGACTTCCCTAGCAGTGGCTGTATACGTAAGCTTTTCACATGTGAAACCTAATGATACAGTTTTTAAAAAAAACGGGGTTCGAATTCATCAACACACTAGTTGTAATCCAAACTACACTAAGCCATTACATTTGAGTTAGTTTCCATAAGACTAGAATAAAACAGATCAAACTAAAATAAACTAATTACTACTTTATTGTATTCTATGTATTTAGAAGGACAGACAGATAGTCACGTACAAAAATGTATTCTCTGAAAATTTACCGATTATTTATAAAAATCTAAAACAATCTGTCTGATGTTGTGTCCATTTCAATAATTTGATACGGATTAAATATGGCGGGCGCCTATAGATGATGTATACTCATAGTGTCACTACTACTAATATTACTACTGATTGTGTAAACAACTCAGAAAATACAATAAATTCTACAACCTATCACGGAGAAATTTTATTCTTTAGTTTATTTTAAAATACACGATCTCAACAGAGGGACAAAATAAAGAACTAGTGTTAACGCAGACATATACAAAGAAAGAGCATAGATATGTATGTCGTGTTATTAATTATATAATCACTAGTAGCAGTATTAATGGAAAATTAGTGTTTTGAAATAAACCAGATATAAGTTAATGATTTTTGTTAAGTATATCTATATTATGTGGTGTGTATTTGTGTGTTATAAAATATTGCTAGTCTTAAACTGGCAATAAGTATACTTTAAAGAACAATCATATCCTAATAAGTTGGTCAAATAAGGTACCTGATAACTTATTTACCAAACACATACAGGTTTATGCAATCGGGTTTAGGTTACAATTCATTGTATGTAGACTAATGATATTACTTAGGACTTCCAAAGCGAGTCAAATATAGAATGATTTGAACCTCAGACTTATTGATTGCAATTCGAGGTTTAAAAATTTCCCAACGACTGATAGAACTAGAATAATGATTGGGATAGAGGGCACAACAGTCCGCAGTGCAAACTGATGAATAAATGTAACCAGTGTCTCAGGAACCATATTCAGTAGGTAGCATACAACCTCGCAAACGACTAGGACTATCAGTCAACAATCTCACAGAATTTTCATGATGATATAATACATTCATCAATGACAGGGTTCTGTCGTCTATGTCAGATCATGCTTTTGTTAGTGAGGGGAATTCATACTATCAGGGCTGCTCAGACTGTGGTAGGTGGAGCAAGCATCGAATTCGTAACCAGGTAGTTCAAAGATGGGTGGCTTGCTCATTAGGTTACCACCTTGTAAAACTCAAAGGACTTTAAACTGGATACTATGTCTAGTAATATGTCAGAGTTTAAAGTATCCATCAGTATAAACATTTTTTTACACATTGAAGGTTACGACTACTGAAAGAAACTTTCAATGGTTGTAAAAAAGTAAGAAGTATACCGTGAAAATTCCATATAAATGTCTTGTCAATATGTCAGTCAATTTTTGTTGCCTAAATATTAACTATGATGTCATTTATAGTAAATATTTTTAAAAATCAATTTATTGACTAACATAGGCGGTTAAAGTAGCCATCAAGAAGCACGTTAAACTTAATAAATTGTTCACCTTTCCTAAGAAAACTTGGGCTTCAGTGCTAATAAAGAGATCTCATCCACATTTTATCAATAAAATTAAAGAAATCCACCTTGGTTTTAGTTGGATATTCGGTGGAAGTTTTGTTGTGCTGATTAAAGCTGACAAATCGACCTTAGGATTTAAGTTGTTTTTCCTAGTTTTTCGACCTGTTATGAATTCTGTTTGAGGACGTTTGGTGATACAGCTTACAATCAATCACAGTGATACAGATATATGAACTTCATATCTTTCCACCTAAATTCTGAGTTTTAATATTATTTCTGACGTTCTACTCCTCGACTCCTTCGTTTCTTTTGAAAAAGCATTCCCCAAGAAAGTGTTGAGTTAAGGTTTCACTAAAAAAATGAACACACAAACCTATATACATCCAACTTCTGAGTAACGAGTATGGTTGGGAACAAATATGGATTTCACTCCTAGCATTTACAGAACGCTACAAGCCTTAATTTCGACTGATATGACTTGTGTACGTTCAAATCATGAAAAATAACCCTTTTCAGAGTTAAAACTAACAATGAAAGAGTTATTAATGGTGATACGAAATGTTTGGTTTCCGAAAAAAAATGTAAGAATTAACAAAATTATTCTTTGAAGAGAAACTCAACTGGCATGAATAAAAATTAGCTGATGAACGTAATTTAACAGCTAGTCCTAAAATTGTGTATAGAAGTTTTGTTAAAAGTCGAGATGCGACTTGGTGCTCCAGACATTCGACTCTCAAACGGCAGATGGGAGACTGAAGTCAGTCAATCATAATGTTCAACATGTCACATAAGTGCAGTGGTTCCCACACAGCACAGCAAGATGGCATTATTGAGGCATTTCCCAGAGTAGCAGAACAAATGTCAATAGTAGAAGAAAAGACCAGGTATAAATGATATGAAAGATAGAATAAACTCGCAGAATAAGAAGAGTCAGTATTTTGAGACAACCAGTGAATCCATCTCTGTGACTGTAGAAGATTCTGAGCCACATCATACTATTGGCAGATCTAAGCGTAACTTCAATTATTCCAGTTAAGACAATCACATGTGGCTGCATATGACTATACTTGATCAACGAGTGGCGAAACTACTTTAAATAATAATACTGTTTAATATAGATAAGTACCTCTCCAAATTTTCGAAAAAGAAATTCCAGTTATAATTTAAAATCCAAGCAAAAATGTAACTCACCATCTTGTGGAGATGTTTTAAGTAATCGACATAATCCTACAACTCCACCGTATTTTTCATTAAGATATTTAACAGCCTCCAATTTACGACAGTCCATTAATTTCTGTAGATCTTTAGGGGAAATTTCGAATGAATCTGCACCACCAGTACCAGTGGTGAGTGCAGTTCGTTCGTTTGCATTTGCGTCGCGCATAGTATTTGTTTAGTTTAAAATGTCTCTGATAATGAATTACTTCAGTGTTTTAGAAATATGACAAGAATGAAATATTCAGAAATCCGAACGTCTGTTATCCTGTTAAATAAAAATAAAACAAAGGTAAAGAAACCAATTCATTCTCAAAATAAAAAAGAAAAAATTATTATCTAACTGACTTATAGTACTTAATTAACTCGGAGTTCGTATTACATAATTTGTGACCGTTTTAAGAATGACACTTATGATCTACTAAGATGTAGAAGCTTTAAGAAAAATCAACAGCATAGTGGTAGCGAAAATACGCATTGTGTAGGAAGATAAGTTCTGTTAGTTTAAGAAATAATCGGAGTGAAATTTCTCCAGCAATTTAAGCTGAATTCAATAGACCAGACATGAGTATGCTTAATATCAACTAATAACCCTTATTCCGACTTTGTAAATAGTTAATGATTTCAAGGATTCTCAGAAATAAACGATCAATAAAGAAGATACAGTTAAATAACCAGTCATTTCTGAGTGAACGACTCCACTTAGTGTTTGATTTTTACTTATGTTGCAGATTTAAAACAGAAACATAAAAACGACAGCTTAATGTTCACTAATCACCAGTTATTATTGTGTTAACCAAAACATAACCTGCAATATGACATATATTCAATAAATTTTGAACATAGAAACATTTGCACTTGTTCATAAATACGAAGCGTCAGTTTCGTTACGTTTTATACCATACATATATCACATGCGAGAAATACAAAGAGGCGTTCTTTAAAACAACTGCTAAATTACTGCATGAAACAATCAGGCAAACGATGAAGAATCTGGAACAAAACTGTCAGTTAGGAGTACAATAACCTGAGTTTGTTTCCAAACGGTCGGCATGAAGTATGAAATATAAGTATAAGCTTACTAAAAATTAATTCCAAGTAAACCTTGTCTAAATGTTTGATTAGACAGTACATTTTACCTCGTCACCACACTAGTTGCCCCAATAGCCTATGACGAGTGTTTCGCCCAGTTTAACAAAAGATGAGTTCCAAAGGAATTGTTATAGAGTAACATTGAACAGAATAAGACTTTTAAAAAAAGCACTATTTAACATCAATGTAACCAGTGCACAACAACTATTTTGGAGTCAAGAATCAGGTTATTTGCATTACGAACATAACACATTTTTTTCAATTGAGAAATAAGCTTAAAACTTAATATTAGGTTTTGTCTAGGATAGCAAATAATAATAATTTAGGATAAGTTACCACTATCATCTAACCATAAGTCAGACTATATTGTCAGTGGTAGAACTTGGAAAAATGTGCTTCTAAACGAAATAATCAACTTTAACAGATTTATTACAAATCAATACATTGAACACAGTCCGAGTTAGGGTTCATTTAAATCGAGGATATTCAAAATACAAGTAGTTTTCTCTCGAATATACGTGAACCGATAGGTAAGTGGTAAAAAAACCACATGTAAGACAGACGATTTGAGAGGCAACCGAAATATATAGGATACTTTTCAAGATGTGGCAAAATTTCATCTACTACACACACAGAAAATATTAATTTGGCCGTTACTAAAAGAGCCTTTTAGAATAAATCCGAGCGGCAAATTAAAAAACACTTGCCATCTATATGAAATACAAAAATAGTCCTAAAATAGTTTAAAAAACGCACAACCACGGAAACGACACACTACCCACATACATTGAACGAAAAACCGACTTGTTTTGAGCGCAAAGTCAACAACTAGTATTCTTGAAACATAGAAACAAATGAGACAGTGTCCAACCTGAAGCTAATAATAGAATAAAATACCGGAATAAAAGATATGGGAAATATGATTGCAATTGAAGACTGGTTTTTCTTTATCCTAGTTGCTCCATAAGACAACCCAATTTTTTGTTTCATGAGCATTAGTCATCGATAGTACGGATGAGAGGTCAGACGACCTATATTATTACTTTGAATTTACAGGACTGTAAAGATTCAATCTGTATTTAAATGTATTTCAGAGATATTCGCGTATTACATGTTACAGTAGAGAATTCCACCGATACTACTCGGAATTACAGACGTAAGCGATTTGATCTCAGTTTTTGAAATTTCGCAGAATGTCCTCTTAGATGGACAGTTCTGCATAAAAGAGAAAAATAAGACAAATCGATAACCAACTGACGCTCAGAATACGGTGAGCCAATACTAGATCACTTCGTACCCTGTGGAAAAATAATGGGAATATGTTGAGACTACTCACTTTATCTTCATAAGATAGACCACACAGAACTTTTACCATTTTGGTTCCTCGCCATTGAAACCATCCTATAGCATAGTACAGTACCATAAATGTTTCTTCGTCCAAATTGTGAAATGACTTACTAATGACTCGAAACGCCTTGAAGTTCTTGTCAGCGACAGCCTAACACGTAGTTATGACGTTGATTATGACTCATTGATCTTTATAGTCCACTACTTTAGGTAACATGACCACACTTTTTGTGTATAATATGAATCATCGCAGTTATTTATTTGCATCGCCACTCTCTTGTTGGAGTTAACTTTTAATGACTAACCACAGTTCTGTTCAGCTAGTGATTTTAGATCATCCTGTAATATTATTCTACCTGAAATACTGTGTATGGATTTTCAAAGGCTTTTTTAATTTACAAACAGTAGAATAGATGACACTTCTACATTTTTTAAAATCATAGATAAAAAATAAAAAAGACGGCCGTGGATTGTACTTTGAGGAACTTTATACAGATTTCTAGATTGATAGAACCCCATTTATGAAAATCATGAAAAACGGAATATCCATACCTTTCGCTGCAACCTAATGTTCTCGTGTAATGAGCAGATTTGCCAAACATGTTAGACTTTTCCTAAAATCGTGTTGTTCCCTGGAAAAAATATTATTTACTGCCATATAGTTTAGAATAGCCATCTGAATAATCTTTTCCATAGGTTGACAATTATACTGATCAGACTATCACGTCGATGGTTATTAGGTCTATGGTGTCATATATTCAGTGATTTTTGTAACAACAAAAATAGAAACCATTTTTTCTTTGTAATTTGTCACACTTTAGTTGTAACCACAATTTTATTCAATACCTGTTGTTTTGCTGTATCACTTGTTAAAAAGACGATAATAATTGTTTCGATGAATGATATACACTTCTACTACCGGGTTGTTTAAAATATAGAACAATACCTACGCTGTTTGTTCTTCTGTTTTATTGGCCGCCGTTTTGATTGAAGACTATAATAGTATTATAACACCCTTATAGGCCTTCCGACTCAACGTTGGACTTTTGGCACGGATTACTATTGTATAATACTGTTGGACTCCGTCTTCCTCATTACGTCTTTGGTGCAGTCACTTGCAGAGGAACACCTGTCAACCAAGTGAACTTAGTTTGTGGTCGTTGTCCTCACGAAGCAGTTTGCAAGTAACATTCATTCTATAGTAACTGTTAGCGTCTGTTTGTTTAATATACCTTTTCTATTGCTAACGGTATTTTATTACCTTTGTTTTTACTAACGGAAAGACATCTAGGTTTCTTAATCATTATTTCGTTTTGGTATATCAGTGTTAACCTAGAGTATCAAAATATTTTGTGTAAGCTCCTTTTGTTTGGGGACCACCACAAATTTGGTGAGCCCGTAAAATTTTTTTTTCTCTCTCAACTACTTTTGAGTTCACTTACAGACATTACGGCGTTATTTTACCCTTGGTAGTGTTTAAATTTTCATATATTCGTAATGTACTCATCCGAAACTGAAGGCATTAGCCAGGATAACATGTCAGCAGAGCTACATGCTCTAAATTTGATAAATGTGCCCCCATTCAGCCGATTAAATCCTCGCATTTGGTTTGCGCAAGTAGAAGTACAATTTCAGCGTCGCAACATACGCTCACAGGCATCTAAATACTCTTTTGTACTTGGATTACTACCCACTGAAGTTGCATCTGAGGTGTCAGATTTGATAGATAATATTCCTGCACCTAATCCATATGATCAATTGAAGCAGGCAATTATTCAACGTACCTCATTATCCGATGAGAAGAGATTACAGCAATTACTGCACGATTGTGAGCTAGGCGACAAATCACCGTCTCAATTATTACGACACATGAGACAATTAGCTGGCCCTTATAAATTTGATGACGCCTTCTTCAAGGAAATTTGGCTACAACGTTTGCCAACAGTAGTTAGGCAAATTCTTTGCGCCTCTAGCCAACCATCAGATTTAGAAAGTCTTGCTAGCATGGCGGATAAAATTTTAGAAGTTACACCCTGTACTACACCTTACGTACAGGCAATAGTAGAAACTTCGAACGATAAGCAAACTCCCACCATAGCATCGTTAACTGCTGAACTAAGCGAACTACGAGCACAACATGAACGAACTGTCGCCACTCTTGAAAATAAACTGGATGCATTACAATTATTAATCTCCAACTTCACATCTACAAGATCTCGCTCTAGTTCTCGAGGGAGTAAGAATCGAAATAACTCAAAAGGAAACAAAAACGACGACAACATATGTTGGTACCATAAAAAATATGGTGACAAAGCTAGGAAATGTGTTACGTCTTGTAAATTTTTCAAGTCATTTTCCTCAACAAAACGTGTCAACCAAACCATGGTAGCGACAAATGTTTCTGGTCGTGCGCCTACTCGTCTTTTCCACGTTCTTGATAAAACTTCAGGGTACAAATTCTTAGTAGATACTGGAGCTGAAGTTAGTGTCATCCCAGTTACCTTAGCCAATAAACCTATTGCTAAGAGTGGAAAATATACCCTAAGGGCAGCTAATAAAACCGAAATAAAGACATTTGGCGAACAATTTCTAACATTAGACTTGGGAATTAGACGGAATTTAACCTGGGTGTTTATTATTGCGGATGTCCGTCACCCTATACTAGGTGCAGATTTTCTCAGTTTCTACAACCTACTAGTTGACGTTAAGAGAAGAAAACTTATTGATTCCTGCACGAACCTTCAAATCCAGGGAATTCAGTCGGACTACCACATACATAGTATTAAAATTGACACCCCAGGGAACGACATATTCGCCACCATTCTATCTAAATTTCCCAAAATAACGAAACCAGACTATAGTGAAAATACTGTCCAACATTCTGTAGTACACCGGATCATCACAAAAGGTCAACCAACCTCGGCACGTCCACGCCGATTACCACCGGACAAACTGAATGTTGCAAAAGCTGAGTTTGATCATATGATGCAGCTAGGTATAATACGTCCGTCAAGTAGCCCCTGGGCATCCCCACTCCACATGGTGCCCAAACGAGACCAAGATTGGCGACCCTGTGGTGATTATAGATCATTGAACAACCTGACATTACCGGATCGCTACCCAATCCCTCATTTGCATGATTTTTCTCTCACTTTACATGGCAAGCAAATTTTTTCTAAAATTGATCTTGTGCGAGCGTACCACCAGATTCCAGTAGCATCCGAGGACATAGCAAAAACAGCCATCATTACTCCATTTGGTTTGTTTGAATTCCTAAGAATGCCTTTTGGATTAAAGAACGCCGCACAAACATTTCAACGATTTATGGATGAGGTCACTAAAGGCCTAGATTTTGTTTTCGTGTATATTGATGATGTCTTAATAGCTAGCAGTTCGATCCATGAACACGCTGATCACCTACATCAATTATTCGAAAGATTTCAGAAATATGGCATAGTGATTAATCCATCCAAATGTATTTCCGGAGTTGAGAGTCTAGAGTTTTTAGGTCATTTGATCGACAAACGTGGAATTAAACCGTTGGATACAAAAATAGAAGCCATCAAGAATTTTCCAGAACCAGACTCATGGAATAAACTTCGACGTTTTTTGGGGATGATTAATTTTTATCGTCGATTTATTCCACATTGCTCAGCCATTCTACAACCTTTGACGGAGGTGTTAAAAGGTAAAGTCAAAAAGTTCACATTACCCTCCCAAGCGAAAGATGCCTTTTCTGCAGCTAAAACAGCAATCGCTTCTACTACCATGCTGACCTACTTAAGCCCTGATCCGGAAGCAACACTAATTCTGTGTACAGATGCATCACAGGCAGCAGTAGGTGCAGTACTACAACAGCGAGTTAATGATGAGGTCAAACCACTTGCCTTCTTTTCAAAGAAGCTAGAACCAACCCAAACTCGATATAGCACTTTCGGTAGAGAACTATTGGCTATTTATCTAGCTGTTAAACATTTTAACCATTTACTGCAAGGCAGAGACTTTGTGATACTCACTGATCACAAACCTTTAACCTATGCCTTTAACGCGAAAAGTGACCGTTATTCTCCTAGAGAAATGCGACAATTGGATTATATTTCCCAATTTTCGACCAACATACAGTTTATAAAAGGTGAGTCAAATGTTGTTGCGGATACTTTGTCACGTTTCAATGTCGATGCAATTTCCTCCACCAAAGGAATCGATTTATTAGACATGGCACGTTTGCAGACAGATGATCCTGACCTTGATGCTTGTAAACAAAGTTCGAGCTTGTCCTTAAAAAGTGTTCCTATACCGCATTCTGACTCTACTATCATTTGTGATACTTCTACTGGAACTCACAGACCTTTTGTGCCAATAGTGTACAGAAAAAGAGTTTTTGATTGTCTTCACTCACTATCCCATCCAGGGATTCGTGCTACTGTGAAACTGATCGCTGAAAGATTTGTTTGGCCAAAGATGAATGCAAATATAAAAAAATGGACCAGGACTTGTGTACAGTGTCAGCGCAGTAAAATACATAGACATACGATTACAACACCGTCAGCATTTAGTCTACCCGAACATCGTTTTCAACATGTTCATGTTGATTTAGTTGGTCCTCTTCCTCCATCTAACGGATTCACGTACATTTTTACTGCAGTGTACCGTTTTACTAGATGGCCAATTGCATGCCCAATAAAAGATATCTCCGCGGAAAATGTTGCTGCTGTATTCCTCGATAGATGGATCGCTAATTTTGGTGTACCTTCTACAGTTACTTCTGACAGAGGTTCACAGTTCCAATCTCACCTCTTCAATGAATTTACCCGCATTTTAGGAATCCATCACATCACTACAACAGCATACCATCCAGCAGCGAATGGACTAGTGGAACGATTCCACAGACAACTAAAAAGCTCATTGATGGTACAGCCTGATGTTTCTAGATGGAGTGAATCTCTACCTCTTATTTTACTAAGTATACGCTCCACAATTAAAGAAGACCTACAATGTACTCCGGCACAGCTCGTCTATGGAGCTAATTTAACCTTACCGGGGCAGCTAGTGTCGCATAATGGCAAACCCGTATGTACGGATCCCACTTCTTTTTGCGAAAGACTAATGAGTCATATGAACAACATTAAGCCTGTTGCACCTCGCCCAGTTGTCTTAAAAGAGCAAGTTAGCAAGCATCTAAATACGTGTAAATTTGTATTTGTTCGTGTTGACTCAGTAAGACGCCCTCTACAACATCCTTATGAAGGACCATATGAAGTAGTTGAGAGGCAATCAAAATATTTCACAATCAATAAGAACGGAAAAAAAGAAACAGTTTCAATCGACCGGATAAAACCTGCTTTTATAGAATCTGAAACACATGACAGCCGAAAGCCGTCTAAAGACAGCGGTGATCACACAACGCAGCTTCCACTGTTTCCAAATAATTCTTCACCAACTCCGACGAAATCAATATTCGGTAAAACAGACGGTTCTAAGGTTACAGTTTCCACAAATTTAAATCCTAGTTCCGACACTTTACCCTCTACGAAAACAACTCGTTCAGGAAGACATGTACATTTTCCTAAACGTTATGTTGAATTAATTACTTAATCTTTATTCTGTCATTACCTGTAATGTGATTGAATATCCATATTAGCAGAGTTACTAATAACATTTCTTTTTATGCAAGCATTTTTTTTCTAAAAAAATTCTTGTGTACTACTAATATTGATAATTTCATTAAGTTTTTCTCTACATGTGTATGCGTTTCATATGATGTTTATTATTAATTGTGCAAATACATACGATTTCGTTGGACTCGTTCAGTTTATCACTAATTGTTTACACAATTTATACATGTATTTACACTTTTCGGTGAACTCTCAATTTAATTACCGTTATTACCAATGATATTATTATTATTATTATTATTATACACTCCGTATTGTTGTTAAAGTTTTTTATATACATTAAAGTCTCTTTACTACAAGACAAACATTTTGTTCTTAAATATGTATACACGTATGATTTTTTTTTAAAAATAACATTTGTTTACCCTTTTCGTTCTGCAATTTTCTCCTCCCTCCAAAGCATTTAGAGTTTTACGTCGGGCATAATTTCACTGACGCATGCCCTAGGGGGGGAGTTATATGGTGTCATATATTCAGTGATTTTTGTAACAACAAAAATAGAAACCATTTTTTCTTTGTAATTTGTCACACTTTAGTTGTAACCACAATTTTATTCAATACCTGTTGTTTTGCTGTATCACTTGTTAAAAAGACGATAATAATTGTTTCGATGAATGATATACACTTCTACTACCGGGTTGTTTAAAATATAGAACAATACCTACGCTGTTTGTTCTTCTGTTTTATTGGCCGCCGTTTTGATTGAAGACTATAATAGTATTATAACACCCTTATAGGCCTTCCGACTCAACGTTGGACTTTTGGCACGGATTACTATTGTATAATACTGTTGGACTCCGTCTTCCTCATTACGTCTTTGGTGCAGTCACTTGCAGAGGAACACCTGTCAACCAAGTGAACTTAGTTTGTGGTCGTTGTCCTCACGAAGCAGTTTGCAAGTAACATTCATTCTATAGTAACTGTTAGCGTCTGTTTGTTTAATATACCTTTTCTATTGCTAACGGTATTTTATTACCTTTGTTTTTACTAACGGAAAGACATCTAGGTTTCTTAATCATTATTTCGTTTTGGTATATCAGTGTTAACCTAGAGTATCAAAATATTTTGTGTAAGCTCCTTTTGTTTGGGGACCACCACAGGTCTCCTTAGCCTGCTTTATAGTTGACTGAATATCGAGTCCTTTCAGACTCCTAGCAGTCTTAACTGCCACGAAGACATACCAGATAGTATCGACAAGTGTTCATCGGTTACATCCAGCACGGATTTCATAGTGGATATAGTCAGGACCGCAAGACATATCTGGTTTCATTTGTTGAAGTAATTGTAATGTAGTCTTTTTATTAGTAACCTCAGAATCGGTTGACAAGCCGCCATTACCATAACTAATCGATAGTCTTTCATTATTGTCAATAAGAAACACTTTATTAAAATGTTCTGATAATACTTTGGCTCTAACAACATCATTTCTTGCCAGTATGAACGAGTTTACTCGAAGTGAAAGTGGTGGGATTCCATCACCTTGATTGAGCCTCTTTATTTATTATTGACTAAATTCAGAATCCCTTCATATGATTCTAGCCTTGCATATTAACGCCTTGAAAACATTCTAGATCTTGAAGCAAGTAAATATGTTCAGAGCATGCGGGGACAAACATGCTTTAACACATTTTCTCACATGTGAGAAATTTTACAAACTCTTTGGGTATCCATGTTCGTTAGTTAATTGGTCTACAGAAGACCAAGCATGATATAAATGTTGATGTAACTAAGTGTACCTTTAAATATGAACTGTACTACTTTAAATGACGGGCTGGTATTTGCTGAACACTCCGTTGTCGCAGTATATTCCTCTATGGCTACCATGTTTGCCCTTCACACATTTAACCTTGGCCTAATGTGAACGCCTCTCATGTCACAGGCTCTAAACGTGAACGAATAAAGCATGATCGTTATTTAACAACAATGGGAGAACAGATAGACAGGCAATATCTTATGCTTAGATGAGTGGTTTTGATCTGTCCACTAACAATCCTATTTCACGGAATTTACCTCCTAGTCTACGACCATAAACTCCATAAATTGAACAACAAACACGCACCCAACACCCGACTAGTCGAAAACCTACTTAGCGGAGAATTTCTTCACCATTTTGGAGGTGTGTTTTAGTTCAGCTAGTGACACCTTGCTTTCCATTATATCTTCTAGAGACATATTATGCTTTGCCCTTACTTCGGTGTTACTTTCACCTAGAACAGCAATAAACAAAAGATTTTGTTATTCAATTGACGGTAGAATTCGTCGGTTCTATCACCTGTTATTGACGATATTTTTATCCCAACTTCAGTAAAGTTATTTGGTGAAATGTAACAAATGAATGATTTGAACTCTTCCCAATAGCGATTATGTCTTACATCTGGGTCAGTGTCGTTTGTCTCCAGCAATTTATCTACAATAATTTTGGAACTTTAACGGGGTATTCTGTGACAGAATGAGAGTCTGCGAAAGGCCCATAAACAAACCAAATATTATTTGTGGCTATTTCCTTCACTCCGTTGTGTCCTAATTTTCATTTATTTCGCATCACCTGATACAGTCACGACGAGACTACTTTGAACGAAACCGTTGTTTCCGGATTTTCGCTTTGCACGCTAAAACCATGACCATCAACATCTACTGAAACTTCGCTCATCATTTGCCTCAAAGACGATTTAATTTTCCCATTGTAATGTCTGATTTGAATGTTTTGTGTGTGAGTAAAAATCCCTTCATGTAAACACTTGCACTTGTTCCTATTAATCCACTTAGTTGTACATTGTTAGTTTTTCGATCACATTTGAACTGTTAATGTTTGTATTTTTTATTATAGTTTTTATTTTTCTTACGTGTTCACTAAGTTTTTGCGTTTCTTCCCGAACTACATCTATGTTGTTTTACTTGATAATTGTTCTTTGCGGCAGCCATATTGATTTGCTCCTTTTGCGCGTGTTCTATCCAGTCAGGATAGAATAGCGTTCATTTGTTGTGACTGGTAATTTTTCACGCATCTTTTATCAACTTTATTTATTGTAATTTAGATTTGAGTGATTGAAAAATTATTGGTTGAATAGCCGGGTGGTAATATTTGTTTAGGTAACGATGTACATTTAAATTTATGATGAATTATAGAACCATCGTTTACTCGATTACTTGTTTTGATTTTGACGGGCAAGGGCGCGTGTCTAACCTACCTGAATGGTTATTCTTCAGTCCCAACCGTAGTTTGGATTCTATAAATCCTTCACTAAATTTCGTTCGTATAGGTTTATAATGATTATTTTATCCGCTGGAGTTAAGATTGGGCAAGCTGTAACAACATGATAAAAACACAGCAGATACACCACAAATTTCGTTATTGGATACATGTTAAGCTTTGTTTTCAGTTGATGTTAGCGACAACACTGAGTACTCTGTCTTATTCAACCAGGCTCATTCAGCAGCCGTTATTTACTCATAGAATACCCTATTACTTTCCAGTGGTGGTCACGGTTTATTGCTTGTTGTTCTAATTCTACTCCTCACTGTTGACCATAATAATCCCATGTGTGCTCCACAGTTAGCAGTGTAAAGGCTGACGTCAACGCATCTGAGGTATATCAACCAACGGTTTAATTTGTTTGAAGTGGAGTTCAGCACACTGGTGCTTATATATCTGTTTTGGTTAAGTTTGATGGTGTTCTTTTTCGTTGATTATTGTTTACGTGTCAAATTTTTTAGCTCAAGGATAGTAAGTTAGCGAGAAGAAGTAGTACCGCTGTCCAGGTATACTTATATAATCTCTAACAAACGGAAACAGTTACTATGTTCGAGCGGTCAAGACATGTGAATGTTGTAAATAAAATCGAATCCTGCCTGACCGTTTGTTCGATTTTGGTCTTTACAGCTGTTAAGTTATCTGGACAAAATCTACACTTGGCATCAGTGAAATTATCGACACAACTGTCGTATAAGAAATAACAACAATTTTCGGCCAAATTGACGTTTGTTTAAGTTCAAGGAATTTACAATGAGGTAAGGCATCTAATCCGAGAGTGTTAGGTTTTAGACAACTTGATAAATCATATTCAGCAAAGCGGCAGACGTAAGTTGGTGCATCAAGTAGAATAAACGGGCAAGTTCGTATGACTTATTAACCTTGCCAGCTATCGATAATACCCTCGACAATCATATACTTCTTTTACTCCTCGTAATAGAGAAAAACAATCATTATGACACACACAAGCTTGCTTAAGTTCATTTCCTCATATTCAGGACCAATGAAAATCTACAGCGAACTAAGTATTATTCTACATGATTTCAATCAGTTTTCCAATTTTGTTTATTGCTGATGCTGATATAAATCGGAACTATTTTAAATGCACTTATCAAACATCTTGGTAATCCATTTTCCATGGTCGCGTGGTTATCAATCCAGCTATTTTATTTGGTTACATCGTTTGGTGTTTCATTGTGCAGAACTCTTACTAGTCACGCGAAATTCGAAATATTAGTATGTAATTATTGTCGGTTCAACAACTCTTTTCAGAATTTTCATTTTAAAGTAGATTTCTTACATTTTTAAAGAATTAAGTTAACCCCATTCTTACAAGTCACTTATTACATTGGTGTAAAACGTTTTCAGTGCCAATCATAGCTTGTTTCCTCAACCCTTACTGCTAGGTTTAAATTTTGAATCACGGTCGCTCGATACGCTATTGACTTACGACACAAATAACAAGAGAACCTATTGCCACTTTAGGTTCCAAAATTTTATTCTCAAATTACTAGAAACAATAATAAAAATAATTTTAAGGTAAAGTTCGGTATTTAGTTTTGCCGGACAAATTTTAAGAAACGCCGATTCAAAACATGGTAGTGGAAAGATAACTTAAATCCACCAATATCTGTAGGGCAGAACATTCTTTTTAATTACGGTTCTTTATGGTCTAGTAGAATGTAACAAGCAAAGGGTACTGATGCTAAATTATTATGCAGAATACCTCTTTGAGTCGCGTTTATATCGCTGGATTAGTTTCACTTTCTAAAGAGTAATCTTGTTAGAAGCAAAACGAGGCAATTAGCTAAGAACGAAGCCTGCCCATGACTTTGTAAAATCTCTAGAAATAATAAATGAGCTGCAGTAGCTTCGGCAAAAAAGAGCGACAGCTGTTTGTGTATCAAAATACTGTTTTCAGCACTATATTTATAAACTACACATAATCTTATACTTTCACCTTATTTTCGAATCACTTACACTTACAAAGTTTTATCTATTCATACCCTATTTACGCTTGTTTCCTTTAATCTTTAGTGACATTGGACCCCAACCACACGACCTAAAAACACGAGCATATTGTAGCGACCGAACGACCAATATTCGGTTGGAACAACGGACTGATGAATCCAAAATTTATTCGATTAGACCAGATCACGTTCCTCTGTATGGCTCACAACGCGTTTTCGAGATACTGGTATTATATTATATCAAAACACAAACTATGTGCTCAATATAGACGGTTCTAATTTATAAAACAGAACAAATTATATCGAAAATAGAAAATATCTCAAACGGTGCAGCCTGTGCTATACAGTCAGAAGTTTCTCTAACGCAAAGTAGCGCGCTAAACAATGGAAGAGACAGTTAATACTAAAGAGTTTGATACCTGAGAACCAATACAAATATTCCCAAAAAGATGGGATCAAATATTTATCTACAGGGATTCCAGCAATCCTCGCAAGCAGACAGTCCGAAGGTTAATGGTCACACACTGAGCCACTCCGTGACGTTGAGCTTAGTCAAACACGACCTTGCTGTCAATGGTCCTGCAACATACAGAAGAAAATTAGGTGACAAAAGATAAGTCTTTAATCAAACTCAGCCAAGCTATCCATAAATATCTCCACAGTATCATGAGTAAAAGGAAACTTGTGAACGTAAAGGTTTGTGCTCTTAAACGGTCAAATTGAGACCTTATGGGCTTAGAGATGATAGAACTAATTAATGCCAACTTCACGAACCACACAAAATCAGGAAACAACGAACGCAAAACTCCTCTTAACTCGTGTCAGCTTACAGTCTACGGAGTGTCAGGATAACTTTTAGGTTAATACTGAGAAAAATAAAATTCCTGTGTCTAGGAAGCTCACCTGGATACGACAACAAGTGATCTTTAATCCTGAAAACGTGAGCGGAAGTCATCAATACACTGCTATTCGACCTAGTTAAGAACTCTCTAGAGTCTCACAAACTTCAAACAGAATGGAAACAGACTTCTCACACCACTCTTCAAAGGCTAAGACAGAAAACACAAAGGCTGTTAAAGACCATTAGCGTTACTCCCAATAACATCAAATACAATGGAAGGACTGATCAGCGAACAAATTCAGGAATACATAGGTAAAAATCAGATCTCACAAGAAGCACAACATGGGTTTATATAAGGGAGTTCCTGTGTGCCTTATCTTCCTATAGAATATGACAGCTGGACGATCTGGAGTGACCATAAGATACTGCTCCATATAATATTCCTCGATTTTGCAAAGGCCTTTCACATAGTACCGCATATAAATCCCAAGGCGAAGGTTACAAAGACGGGTTTCACTGACCCACCTATATTCTGGCTCCAAAACTGCCTAGAAACAGGATATCTCATACCAAGGTAAAGAGAACGCACACCAGTTGAAAGGTCTAAAAGTCAGGAGTTTCACAAGAAACGGTCTCTGGTCCGGTCTGATCTGCTTCACTGATCTATACAGACAACATAAAGATCCGGAGGGCTATAAAAACCAAAATAGTTTCACTGGAGCTTCGAAAAGACCGTACAACAATAGGTGAGTAGAGTGTAGACAATCGTTTAAAATGTAACTCCTCACAATGTCATTTCATGAACGTTCTGACTCATTCGACAAAAAGCACTTACACCAAGTTTAGAAATGGGTGACTAAGTGGATGTTAGGTCTAAAAAATTAATCTTACGAGGAGAGACTGCAACACTTGGTATTGTCCTCACTAATCTGCAGGAGAATAGAAGGTACGCTCTCACTTTTCTCACTAAGAGTTATCATCAGTAAACCTCCTGTCTAGTAAGGTGATAATCGCTGGTATACAGGAACCGTACTTTCCTGACACAAACTTATCTGTCGTCCAGACATATGATGACTTAGGAGTCATCGTTAGCCAAGACCTAAAGACTACTGCACTAGCCGTGCAATAGCCACCAAAGGTTTTAGAACCCTATGGTCAATACGTAGGGCTTTTAGTCATGTCGATGCTAAGAAGTTTTTGACTTTATATACTGTGTACGTACGTCCTAAACTTGAGTACTGCATACAAGCGGCTAGCCCGGGCTTAAAAAAAGACAATGAGCTTCTGGAAAAGGTTCAGAGAACGGCAACCAAGCTTATTCCCGAAATAGCGAAGCTTCCGTATGAAGCTCGACTGGCCAAACTGAACCTTTTCCCGCTGTCATATCGCAAAACTAGAGGCGACTTGATTACAGTTTTCAAATTGCTTAGTGCCAAATTCTCACCTGATATTCCCTCATATTTCTTGTCTTCCAAAACAGAGAGTTTACGAAGACACTCCAAAGAAATTCATGAGCCCAGAACAAATAACTTGTCAGCTGACTATCGAGTTTCCCGTCGAATCATCAACGAGTGGAATTCATTACCTCAGCACGAGGTTAAGGCTCCATCTGTCGGCTCTTACAAAAGAAAGTTAGATCAACTGAGAGACAACCATTGCCAGGACTAACACAAGCCATCAAGCCTCCTGTCCTTTACAAACTGAAACACCACATCATATACGAATCCACAAATAGCTACATAAATGACTAGATTTAGTGTGATCAAGTGGTTAGTCTAAGACGCACTGGACATTACCAAATACATGGAACCATACTGAAAAACAAGAAGCATGAGCAGAGAAATCACTTGATTGATACAAGCTCGTGTAGCGTGGCGTCGAGTTGAGATTGACTATGAACACCGCTACCAAGAAACACGTGCCAAGTAAATCAGAAGGCGAAGGTTGAACTTAACCAAATAAATCCATAAAATCCCCGAGAAGCCAAATATCAGAAGGCAGTTAATGGACCAAGTCGAGATATTTATTTGCTGGCGATTTCGTGGTATCGAAATAATACCGAGATCTTGCCAGGATACAAGCTTGGTTACAGAACGTAACCAAATTCGCGCGAAGTCACAATCAAAGTGTAAGAATAAGAATGGAAGCACAATATAGCTGTCATTAGCACAGTCAAGCAAAAGCACATTAAAACAAATACTAGTACAGTTGGTTACAATAATAATTGTTTTTATTACACCAGTCGTGTTCTTGTGACAAATGTGAGTCACTACACTCGTAACAAAATATTGGATGTCGGGGATGTCAACCTTGGAATACGCGGATTTATGAAAACTACGGGTTATAATATCGCTACTATTTTCGATGCAAAATTCCCAGGAAAGCTTGATGACACTCTAATAAATAGGCTTTGCTTGTTAGTAGTATGTCAGCATGAATTTCACACTGAGTTTTGGTCTACATTGCCGATCAGTGAATGGCATCTTATATCGAAACACGCTTCTCGATGGGACATTGATTGTGATTACACTACTGAATTGCATATCATTCTGAAAGCTGCCGTATCTCTTTCTTTTCGCTATGGTTTTATTTTCGGAAATGAGGATTTTGGCCCTCATCAGATCGTATTGTATGCTCTCAATGTATCCAACAAAAATGTTGATATTACACTCACTGAAGCCTTGGCTAATAGTTTAAAAAGTCTTCGTTCTCTCACAGACATTAGTTCTGTATCTTGGATCAAGTCTCCAAGGGTCTTAACACTTCTTCAAGGTCTCTCTAGGGAAACAAATGTTCATGTTTTCAAAAATACCGTTATCATATGTGCATTTATTTTTCTTCATCTTCTTGCAGATGGCAAGCTTGATGCTAGCCAAGAGCCTTTCAATGAATGTTTTCAGCTGTCAGCTTTTGGTACTGAAGTATTATTCCTAATTGCAGAATTGATTAATAAGTTTAATGTAGAATTTGATACTTTGCAAATACCGGATACATTTCAATTTAGCGTGACTACTTTTGATTCATTTCCTTCAGAACTACAAGCTAAGTTGCTCTTTTTGGTTTTCACTCGTATTGTGAGCTCACCATCAACCAACAGTGATTGGGTTTCATATTTGAAGTCTTTACGTAACTTCCCTGAGCTATGTGCCTCGATAATCAGGTTTTGTTTAAAATCCAATAAGAAACTGTGTAATGAGATGTGGAAATTTGTCATAGATGAATGGTCTATTTCTTTGCATACGTGTTTGGAAAACAATGAAGTTGATAATCTACTTCGTATTATAAACCCAGTTTGTCTGTATACAAATGCTTCGCTCCATATAGAATCTGGGAATGAATTATTAAAGAAAATTCTGTCTGTCGTTATGAAAAACTCAAATTCTGTTAAGGGAAATAAAGTAGACAAGTACCATGCAAGGTTGTGGGTCTTGTCAAGAATTCTAGTCCATTGTTCACCATCTTCAATAGTTTCATTGTCGGATGTAACTGATGTCGCGGACTACTTAGTATCTTGTTGTAGCAATTCTTTTTCCGATCCCATGACTTCTAGTATAGATGCCGCGTTTAACTTTTTTGAAGAAGTTTGTCTTCTCTACTGGAGCTCAAAACAGTCAGTAATTGATAAACTGATTTTTAAACTCTTTGATTCACTTTTGACTACAGATAATCCAAGGATTTTTTCTACCTTCTCATTTCATTTTATTCACCTTATCGAAGAATTATCTTATAAATACAACTGTCTAGAGGTATATAGTACATTTTGGATTTGCCTTTTCAAACTACTGAATAAAGTAAATGATCAGATACTAAACCAATCTCCCATGTTTGATGTGTTTAATAATGAAGGATTACTGGATGTAACTGTTGCAATTTTAAAAATTCTTAGTCGCGAAACATATATATTATTGTGGACAAGTGAATGTAAACTGTTATTTTCTGTGTTTGTTGATAGTCTCATGTCGAGACTTGGTGTCGGTAATTTTATAAACGATGCTTCCTTTCGTGGGCTTTCCCTTTCAACCTTCATTATCTTCATCGTCTGTGAGTATCATAATAATAACACAAGTCCCCATTCAAAGGATCACAATCGTTCAATTGAATGGGCTTATAGATCATATGATTATCTTGTAAATTTTGACCTAATGGAATTGACAGAATCAAAGTGTGTTTCCAAAACACTGTGGAATACCGTCAAATATCTTGAGAAAGTAAGTTTATTGACATCTCTTACTCTGCTTGCTTGTTGATACAGCACAATATTAAGTTATCTTCAGTTGGGTAGGGAGTTGATCAAGAGATTTTATTTTAAATACCAAAGCTTCAGTTCACATGACACTTCTGTTACATCCTGTTTTTTTGGCGTTTTGTACAATTAACCACAGCGCAAATCCATAGGGTTAGTTGAAGAAGTTGCTATGGATGCACAGTAAGCTTGTACAATTAATTTGGCATGTTTTTCTGAAACGTCCAATCAATAATATTATATCTAATTCAGAATCTTGTAAACAGTATCACAGATTTGTAAAGCGGTGGCCCATCATTTTGGTCGTCCGACTTTCAAGTAACCGTTAACAGACGGAAAATTTAATCCGCAGAGCAATATTTGTAACAATTAATTCATCAACTAAGTATAGACGCGTTTACTTGGTTTTGAACCACATCCATTATATTCAGGTTAGTGATACTACGCAGTTGGTCAAACCCAAGTGTGTGAATGAGGTTCAATTCAGCGAGATCACGCCTTAAACTTGAACCTCTTGATAACTAATCCACTGTCCCACAACAACATTTAATAGTGTAGTAGTTAGCTTCACTGGATCTTACTTCGTATTTATAAATTTTAATTTAACACGAAAACTTATTGTATTTGCATATATATGTAACACTAGGATTGGTTATGTACTGCATTTTTTAGCGTCTTTAACATTCAGTTTTGCTATCTCGTCATATTCCTTTTGGAGATACCCATGCCCTTGACTTACGGAAGACCGATTGTTATCAACTGTTAACCTATGTACTCTGTATATACCTAAACATATATAATAGATTGACGCATTCAACATGTGCTGAGGTATGAATCGTACTCTAGGTGTGAGGGCTAATGGTACCACAAAGTCGCTAGAACCGAAGTGGATAAGCGGAGTTCGAATGTGAGGTTGTGTTTGTAATTCTAAGGTCTTAACCACTAAATCAGCACTCCGTATGCTTAAGCTTCCTGAGGCTTTGTTAGTTTTGATTTTATTACAGATCAAATTTCGTCTTTTTGTATTTCCTCGTGAAAGATTGGAATGATGTTCACAACGCATATTTCAACTGTTTCAGTTTCTTAGGGTTTGAGAATTTCGTCGATTAGTGTACTGCTCCCACTTGAACTTCCACAAATAATCTATTGTTGATTCGAGAACACGCAACTGTTCCTTAGGGGATAAAAAGTTAAATACCTCAAATCTTTTTACGTTGATACTAAACATCCGAAATTTCTGAAAATTTTACCACTTTCTATGTATAAAGATGATTCTCCTGATCTAGATAAAAAATAGGCATCGAATTATTTTATGCATCTTCATGAATACATATTTGCTACAGTTCTCTAGTCATGCACTGAGTCGGTTAGTAGCTTCAGTAAACCACATCTGTTGTTCTACTATTTGTCCGATGAATATGGTAATTGAGCTACTTATGTTTTTTGTAAAGTTTAAAAACCTGGGAGGTTTTTAAAATGTTGAGGACTGTTCTTAGAAAAAAATACATTAAAGTTCTTTTCAAATGAAGACCATGTGGACTGCAATGACGATTAAAAGGGAAGACGACAGACAACCTCTTGTGTTATTGAGAATATCAAATATCTTTAACCTTTTGGGTTTTTCAATCGCTGATTTACTGCCTGAATATCTGCTGACGAATTTGATTTGCGAGGATCGTTTGTTTATATAGTTGTAGCAAAGTATGGGACGACGAGAAAGCCTGTGATTTTGATTGTTATGGACTTTCTAAGGTGTTTTGATTATTAGAAGGGAGGTTGAAACGAAGATATTACCAGTTATGGGGAAGTATTTTTAGAGGAAAAAGAATATTATTGTGCCTTTGTTTCTTAGGAAAAGCTTACATGACGTCATAAGCAAAGATGGATGGTGGCTAGCAGTGGAATATAAGACGCACATTTCATCCTATTTTCGACTCGTCAGCCGGGTATACCTGCATTCCAGTGAACATCAACTCTGGAATGTAGGCACATCCAGCTGGTGAGTCCCAAATAAGACGAAACACGCATCCTGGATTCCACTGCTAGCCACCATCCATCTACACTTATAATGCTTGTGACTTAAGGCGATACGCGTAGTATGCACATATGCCAATAAGAGACTGATCATTTGCAGCCCTCAATATCAATGGGAGGATTCAACCAAACATTACCAAGTGAATTTACATAACGTCAGTTTATACATTTATTGGACAAATTATATTGCCAGTAAAACTCGGTTAGTTAAATGTTTTCAAACTATAAATTTGTGGCTTGTCATCAATAATGTATTGTATTGTAACATTGATATCTTCCATATTGTATAAATTCCCAATGTTTCACAATGTCTAATTTAATTTCTATTCAAGGAATCTGAAGAATATCCGATTGATCTATGGAAAAATATTCTTTCATCAATTACAATGAAATGGAAGACAGATCTTGGTGAAGAGTACTTTTTATCTATACAAGAGTTACCTCTCCTAAATTATTGTCCCAATTGTAAAGAGAATATTGAAGAATTATTAGATGATATAATTATTTCAAGTACCAGTAATGTGACCGCTGATTGTACAGAAGGTTAATTTTTCCCAAGCGGACAAATATTATCTTGGTGTATATCTCGAAAGTATATATATATATATATATATATATATATATATATATATATATATATATATATATATATATATATATATATATATATATATATATATATATATATATATATATATATATTAGTTCAAGAGTAATATACTTGTTCTGTTATTTACTTAACGTAAAGAATTTCATGGTTTATAAAGATACTGAAATTGAGTGCAATTTGTTTTCACTAACTTGGGTTCTGGCATCAAAATTAATCGTTCCTAACTGCTCCAACTTACATTGTCATAATGTGTTTATGTGTCGGAGAGAAAATTAGCAAGTGAAAAGAAATGATAGTATCAACAGTGATATAAATTTAAGTATAGAGAAATATAGTGTAGAAAAGTAAATGAGATTGTAAGATGACGAGATAAGGAAATGAGATTTAATGCAAAATAAATCACAGTGGCGCAGTTGGATTAATTCTCTATCTTCTTCTTCTTCTTCTAAATTCTGAACTATGTAATCTGGTATCTCTAACAATAGGTTGGAACTGTTGTGTGAGTCTTAAACTAGGTATGTGTTAAAGTGATTTAGTTTGGTGATGTGTTGTATTTCATTTTACTCAATTATTTGTTTTAATCTGGCTACCGATTTTTCAAGTAGGCAAAGATAAGAATATGTTACGATGCAAAGTGCTAACAATGTATATGACAGTGCAAAAAAAAGTAAACAGCAAACCCAATTCATTTTATGAAGTTATATAATAATAGTATTAAAGCAGGTTTGAATATGGATAAATATGTCCAAACCCAAATCTGCCCACTGAATCGTTGACTGTTGAACTTAAGAGTTGAAAGGTACAAATTTATTGCTTTCAAAGTTTGAGTGACATAGATCAAGATTAATTCCAGTAGTAAATATGTACTCTTTCCTTGCTTGACTACTGATTTTAGATTTCAATATCACTTCATAAATCTACCTACTGATTTTATTTTTACCTTTCAAGCTATAATTTATACGCCTAGTGTCTTGCCACCACTGTTGTAACATCTCTGGACGATGTGGATTTTTGCCGTTCTACATCTAAACCTGAGTGAGTGGTGAAATTAAGTGAGTAAAATATTGAATAGATGGGGGCATTGAGTCTGTTGGTTATTCTCACAACAGATGTACTTGTTGATCTCCATAGAAAATGGCGTACACTAATATTTAAACTACTGACCATATGTTTGTTGTTTCAGTCAGTCAGTAACAACGTAGAACTTCGTACGTACGTACATCAGTTCGAGTTGCCGCACCACATTAATACAGAGATGCAGTTGTCGACTCAAATTCCGTAGTGGTAGAGGTAGTAAAAGTATAAACAGTAATCGGAAAGATTAGGCTTTGAAGATATTATTCAAGGAGTATAATCCAGTGAAATAAGTTTGAAAAGAAAAAAGGGATATGAAGAATTCAGAAGATTAGAATTTGGGAGAACACAAAAATTGGATGCACTTGCGTCATTGTAAACGATTTTGAGCCATGTCATGCAATGTCTCTAACCATCGGTTGCTATCATCTCGCAGATACCAACCAGGTAGTCTACACCCACCAACATGGCTCAGTTCACTTGTCAGTGACTTCATAGATTTGTGCCATCTTTTGGTCTGGCCGCCACTAGCTTTCTTCCAATCTACTCCTACACCATAAGACATCGCACGTCGGTGCAGTCGGTGGTTGGGCATACGTAACACATATCCTAGCCATGTTTGTTGTTTAATTTAAGGTGAAAAAATCAAAGACCTCTATTTAGTTGATTTGAACTGACTCTTTTTAAACAGTGGAATATCAGTTAAAAGAGACAAAAAACGTAAATCATTAGGAAGATCCTAATGGTATTATCATCCAAACTTTTCAGACCTTTCCAATTGTTTTATTGAGTTATAACTTTGCAGACATTGTATAGATTTTACTATCTCGCTTGAAAATCGAGTAACGTTTAAACTCATCCAAGAGGTACACATTGATAGTTGATAAAGTGATCAGCTTACAAAGGTAGAATGCAAATAGTTTGATGGAATAAGATTATGATATATCCATGTTTTTATTTCAATTAGAAAGATGTGAATCCCAAACAAACAGGGGAATAGATAATCTTCAAGTGAAGTTTTCCTAAATGTAGAAGATGAAACACTGATTAACAATTCACAATAGGGAAGTTGTTTGGAATACTAATATTATATAGGAGAAGATTAAAGTATTTTCAAATCGGAAACTAGTTTTTTGTCTATTTCTTTATCATTCAAGTTTCCACTTCATAATTTTTTCGAGTAGGATGTTTTTGCTGGACCCCAAGCAACCAATAAAGGGGAAATAAAGCAGACGACAGCGTACATAAATGTCGCTTTTCCCCCCTTACGTTGTGTATTTGGGGAAAATTTGTCGACAATTAGACGTTACGTACAGTGTTTGAATAAACCGCATCCACAACCTAAGTTTTCATAAACTTAGACAAATTAAGGCACCGCTTATTAAAAAAAACAAAACTATTGTCATAAAAGAAAGTTACAAAGTGCGGAACCAGGCATTCGGTTTAGACGCAAATACACTGACTTCGTTTTTTGTTTAGCTAAAGGGTTCCGACATGCTTGGGATTCATCACAAACAACTTAGGTGAGTGACGTGCTCTCAGATTTTCATGTTCATTATAACTGATTACCTTGTTAGGCAAATAATATGAGTTTCATTGGAGTTAGTGAGAATGTTCGTAGACACGCAGGGCTACTGTGAACTTTTTATGTTCCCTTGATTGTCATAGAACCACTTATAACAGGAGGTGGAATAAAATGCGATAGGTGCACTGTACTTGGGAGACGGCTGGAGGGGAAGACGACCTTTCCAAATGGGGTATATACTTTAAAACAGACGACACCTTCCGTCGTCTGACCCAATCTATTCACCATCAAGGACATTCTATTATGGAAACGCTTTCTATTAATATGATTATAACTTTTCCTTTAGATCCTATGCACATGGTGTACCTTGGTATTATAAAAAAATTAGCTAATTTATGGATGTACATCCAACCGTTGTCCAAGGACATTAGATAAATAATCCAAAATGTATCCGACATCGAATAGTTCCTAATAGGGTGAACTTATATTCTTCTCTTCTAATAAAACGTACTGGTAGGCGCTCTTTGTTTAATGGGCATCTTAGTTATAAATGAGTGGATTGGTACACTAGTAGGGACGGATTTAAAATGGACAGCACACGAATTGACGTAAAATAGAATTAATTCCACCTAGTACCATATCTTATGGATCTAGAAGAATATTAAAAGGTAGCAGATTTCACGGTAACTACAGAGAATTATAATTCATTAATATATGTAAATGCTTTAAATTAGGTTTGATAAATGAGTGGATCGTGTACACTAGTTGGTCCAACAGTAGGATGGATTGTCTATTCAAATTACTCAAACCACTTAGCAGCATTAATCATGATGTGAAGCGGGAAATGTTTTTTTATCTTATTAGTCAACAACTCAAGATGCTGGTTACGACTGTATCCATTTAATGTGAATACAATAAAGTACGATTTACTGTTAATCAAACATCAATGTCATAATCTTGTTAAAAATAATGGTACATATATGAAATACTATGTTATTTAGATGAAGTTTTGTTCTCTGATCTGATTGGTTTGGTCAGTGAGTCAGCTACAACGTAGTACCAGGCACATATATGCATCGGTCCAAGTTGCCATACATCATTAACACAACAAAATGAACACCGGATTCATAAAAGTAGATAATTCACGGCCAAGCGTATACAGCCTCTGCCAGGGAAGTCCTACTCATTGCCTTCTCGTGGCGGGGTTGTTGTTTACGAAAATGAGAGGACAAAAAGCGAATGTCCGGCGCTTTAACCGGATCACAAATCAATGGTGCACATGGGCTCCAGTATCCTGCGGGAACAAATGGCGTATGAACCAATCGTTGGTTACCGGCTACCATGGGATTGCATCTCCTTACGATGCTCCACTGCCTTGTGGGTTAGACCTTTAGGTCAAAGGCTCAGGGAGTGGCCCCCTAAGATAACCACCTGCTTCGGTTCAGGCACCCGGGCAGTATCACAGCCCACACACAAATGATGAACTCTCTATGCCTATGGTAATATATGAAAGAAAGATTCATATAGAGATATAGTACAAGAAGAAAAAATTGGTTCGTAGAAAGAAAGATATGAAGCGATTGTGTATACACCGACACCATTGTGATCGATTGTGGGCCATGTCACCACGAGTCTCCAACCATTGGTTACGATAGTCACGTGGACACCAACCAAGTAGTTTGCATCTCCCCACATGGTTCAGACTAGAAGTTAGTGACTTCAAGAGCTGATGACACGTTTTGGTTTGGCCGCCCCTAACTTTCTTCCAACTATCTTCAATACCGGTTTGCATTGCACGTCGTGGTAGTCGGTGTTCAGGCATACGTAACACGTGGTCCAACCATCTCAGTCGATGAAGATTCACAACCTTATCAACTGATTTACCGTCATCATTCCCTAATACCTTGTGTCTAACCTCACTATTACTTACCCGGTGATCCCGGCAGACGCCAGCAATATTTCTAAGGCATCTGTGGTCATGGAACTTTCATAAGTTTCTAATGTATTGTGATATGTCAAATCTTCAGTTATACTTACAGGTGTATTAGTGTAAATTATCTATTTGAAGTTAGATTACATTTATTACTTATGTAACAGTATGATGATCAGCTTTGTAGCTATATATTAACTCACAAGGAATAGTTTACGAGTTAGTGTCCAGTTTATAGCTTATTTTTCTGGATCACACGTTATTCTTCCTTTAACAGTAATAGTGATTTATCAAAAAACTTTTGCCCAGTTTTTATTTTTGTCTTCTTTGTAGTTTAATGAGGACGTATAAGGATAATCTTAGCGGGTAACTGTTTGTAAAAATTAGAAAAAACTAAGTGTTTGCTTCATAAGCACTCGTTTTGTTATGAAAAATTATATTACTGCATGAGCTT